AATGACTCATAACAAGTTCACACGTATACTTAATTTGTTGGGGGGAATCCCTTCCAACACTGAAATTGAGAACGAAGATGAAGAATTATGTAAAGGCTTGTAGGTTATTTAAAGGCTTGAACGTAACTGCTCCCTCCCTCTCTCCCTCCCTCCCTCCCTCCCTCCCTCCCTCCCTCCCTCCCTCCCTCCCTCCCTCCCTCCCTCCCTCCCTCCCTCCCTCCCTCCCTCCCTCCCTCCCTCCCTCCCTCCCTCCCTCCCTCCCTCCCCTCCCTCCCTCCCTCCCTCCCATCCCTCCCTCCCTCCCTCCCTCCCTCCCTCCCTCCCTCCCTCCCTCCCTCCCTCACTCACTCACCTCACTCACCACTCACTCACTCACTCACTCACTCACTCACTCACTCACTCACTCACTCACTCACTCACTCACTCACTCACTCACTCACTCACTCACTCACTCACTCACTCACTCACTCACTCACTCACTCACTCACTCACTCACTCACTCACTCACTCACTCACTCACTCACTCACTCACTCACTCACTCACTCACTCACTCACTCACTCACTCACTCACTCACTCACTCACTCACTCACTCACTCACTCACTCACTCACTCACTCACTCACTCACTCACTCACTCACTCACTCACTCACTCACCCCTCCCTCCCTCCCTCTCCCTCCCTCCCTTACTCCCTCCCTCCCTTACTCCCTTCCTCACTCCCTCCCTCCTTCCTTCCCGTCCACCCTTCTGCCCTTCCTTCCTTTCTTTCCCTATGAAAAATATATTTATTTACTTTCCACAGCATGATTATACGAACATGCAAAACAGAAGAAACCTGCCAGGAAGCACCTAACATAGACATAACACTTAATTTAACATCGGTTGCGAGTAATTCCAGAAAGTTTAAAATAAAGCTGTTAATTAAGAAAACTATATTTGAGGTTTGTAGGATGGTATAGTTCCTAATTTTTAAAAAAAATAATCTTTTCTCTTTTTTTTCTCCTTTTTCTTTTCTATATTCTCTTCCATCTTTTACTTTTCTCTTTTCTCTATTGTTGTTATGCTCAGCATTCCATTTCATTTTGGAACCAGATATAACACAAATGATAACACAGTTCAAATGTAACAGTCCAATATAATTTTCAACTTCTAGAGGGGGACACAGGTAACATTCAAACCAAAAACACTGCTTCCATGCTACCCTACGTTGACGATACACCACACACTGATTACACACTACAGTTCACACACTTCTAATGGGAGGCCACTCTCACACCCAATCTCTCCGTGCCTACACGCTTTTGTTATGAACATCTAGGCCACGTCACAATTGTTTTCTATTTTCACTTTTCTTTTTTCTTTTTTCATTTTTCTATTTTCTCTTATATTTCCTTTATTTTCACTCTTCGTTTTTCCCGATAGGCAACGCTTTCCCATATATTCATATTTATATTTGTATTAATATTAATTTGTTTTCATATGTGTTTTTATAAAGGTGATCAATGAGAATAAAATAATAAAAAAAAATTAACCACAGTGTTTCACTTCAAGACAACATTTTTATTTACATCGATGGTCAGGTATTTGTCGAGTGGATTTTATTTTCCGTAAGTTTTGTTTAATTTTTTTAATTTAAAAAAAAAAAATTCAAATCAAACTATTCTTCTATAATCTATGCCTATAATTAATAAAGCGAGTGATATATCCCCTTAACTTTCTTATCCTTTTCTATCAGTAAGGGTGGTGTCATTTCCAGAGCTAACGTGCTATAGATCAGAAACTTTTCTTAGATTATTTTTTTTTTTAATTACTTTTTAAAAAATTGTGATAGAACCGAGAATAATTTTTAAAAATTCAACTCCAATTGAACGCAAACTGGCAGGGGCGGAACTACAATGCCGCCAGACCCTGCAATGCGGGGGGCCCAGGCTATTTAGGGGCCCACAGCCGACCATAATAATTTTTTATAGTAAAAAAAAAAATGTTTTTGCAATTTTGACTTGATGGTTGTTTTGTAAAAATATTACCGTAGCTGCTGTTGGATTTTTATTCTATAGACACCACCCCACGCTCTTGTATATTCTTTTTTTCCCTTTGTTTTTAAACTACTGTGAAAGCCGAGTCCTCTTTCTCCTACAATCAAACTTATCAAAGATAAGCAAACATTCAAACCACTTCCATGACTTATTTCCTTTTTTAAATAGTCAAATAGGAGTGCTCATATGCTCCTTTTAATAGATTTGTATTACACAAATTAAAAAGCAATTACTTCTTTAATTATTATTTTATAAAGTACTTACTAAAGAATGATATTGTATAAAAAGGAAATGTATTTAAAATTAATAATATAAATGAAAAAAAAAAAAAAAAATAAACATAACACGAGACACCATTACTTTTACAAAGCTTTTGTGTTTTATATTCATTTCACCGACTAGAGATTAAGAGGTTTAATAGCAGAGATAAAATAAAACTTTTTTTCTAGTTCCGCCACTGCAAACTGGGTTTTTATAATAGAGCAGAAAAATTGTTATTTAGAAAGGAAACATTTATTACCTTTGTTAGAAATCGGAAATAGTGTACATTGATACTTCCGATCACCGTAAATCATATAAATTTGACAGAGCTAAGGTAATAAGATCCTATACCAATGTATAAAATTTGGTCTTTCTTACTGAAACAGTATTAAGTAAGCATGTTACTACGAAAATACAAGAAAATACTACTTCTATTTAAATTTATTGGCTTTTAAGAAACCGGAAATAGAGTAAGAACTACCATCGGTTACCAGAAATTGCTCACACTATGCTATAGAATTACAAATTTGATAAAACCAAATATGGAGCGGTACTTAAAGCATACAAACAATAGTGCAAAACAACGTTTTTTTTCTTCATATTTTCAAGTTTTTACTAAAAGCTTTTATTTAACTTGCTTTCTCTTACTCTCCTCGTGCTTTGCTTCATCCGTCATTTGTCGAACTGGCGAGCAAAATTTTGACCATTTGTGTCTAACCGGTTTCTTTCAAACTTAGTTCATGTGTCAAGACATGATAATGCAATTAGCCATAAAATGCAACTTAATTAAATGCTTAATAATTATTTTATTTTGAGAATCAATTAATGTTTTTTATATAAAAGTACACAATCTGGAAGTCTAGAGACTGTCTCCGTGTTTAGCTGCAATATGAAAAATGAGATTAGATTGAAATCCCAAAGGAAAGGATAAAGTAGTTAGACCAAAACAAACTTGGAAAAGGATCAACAGTCAGTGAAACACAAGCAGCCGGAATATCATGGCCCAAACTTGAAGGAATCGTTAAGAACCCAATGCAAAGGAGAGATGTTGTTGCGTCTTTATACTTTACTGGTCTACGAGAATGATGATAAAGTACTAATTTTATCAAACTATCAAAACAATAAGATGCGTTAATTTGGTGCGCACATTTCTTTAGTCATCAATTCTATTTTATTAAGGACCGAGGGGTTTGTTATTTATGTATGTTCACACAACCGTGCAATAACAACACAAGTACTAGTGGGCATAGCCATGCGACATTTTGTCATAGAAATACCAGTCTGTGGTGCCCCATGACTCCAAAAATGTTTAAGGGACTATTTAGATTTTTATAAAACAATTTTAAATAAATCATCTACATATTTACACTACTCACAAATAACCCGTCAAGACAGGATATTAGCTTGACGTGTAATAGGAAAATCATTCACAACAGTTGGAAGAAAACTCAATATAAATCACTATCACAAAGTGTACTGAACATAAAAGTTTTACACCATTCCTCCCCTACAATCTTTTGTGATGAATAGTACACACTCAAAAAAGCTAACTAACCAAAAAAACACAAATTTCTGAACGAAAATTTCATATATAATTATTACATTGTATGTGCACTTTCTCTTTTAACTTTTGAACAAATTTCGGTAAACGGAAGTGGTATTTTGGTCTATTTCCGTGTGAACCCGAGTACTGTTTCTGTATGATTGACGAAATTTCAAAATAAATAAACGATATTATATTTGGATTACTTTTGATTTTTGATTGAACTCCGATAACCAGAAATTGTACTTTACTGCAGTGGCGTAGCTAGTATTTTTGAGCCCCTATGCAAAAATTATCAGTGGGCCCTCTTCGTCAGCCATTAGGCTACAATGGAGTTAAACGAAGGAATCAAGATAGGGGGTTTTCAATAATATAAATATTCTGTAGATTATATATTTTATACGTCCTGATTGTGTATTTATACTATATTATTATGTAGGCCTACAACCCCGTAGTTTTATAAAAATGTTACAGGCTTACAGTTAATTTTTTTTAAGTAACCAAACACAGTAGTGGACGGCGTGGCCTAGCAGTGGAGCGTTAGACTGCTAACCCTATAGTCTCGAGTTCGAATCCGAGATCAAGTTAGTGGAACGTCCGTGAGTCCACCCAACTTTGATGGGTACCTAATTCACTTTTACTTTTAAACACAGCAGAGGTGCTGTCCACATCGGAAAATTTACTGTCAAAACTGTGTTATATCCAGCTAAAATAATAAAAGATAAGTGAGAGAGGGCTAACACCCCACAGAAAGTGCACAGTTGTTGGGGGCGATGAGATGACACCTTTAGTAAACCCGTAGGGTAACCGACCTTGTGACGCAACTAACCAAACACATTTTTTTTAATTGCTCATGATTGAGTTAGATCTGTCTTTTCTCATGCTTTTAATTTTGCAAAATGATTAATAAGTTCCTTGAGATTCATTTTAGCTGCTCTTGAATGTTCTATAATTACGATGGCCAAGTTACTGACCCAATGGGCATATCTACAATTTTTTTTCATAAAAAATGAACAGCATCACAATGAGCAAATAATCAGATTTAAGAATTCCATCATAGATATAAAAAATTTCTTCCCTATCACCGTAGAATGTTGAAGAATACGTGTGGGTAACTAGCGTACCTGTCCGCGTTGCTGCTATCTAGTTATCTAGTCCCTCGTATGCTAATCTTTATCGAATCTTTGTTGTTGGGGTGAAGGTTTTTAGACACTACCGGATAGACGCCCTTGGGCATTGAGTGTACGTTAATCATCCTCCGTAATAGGCAGGTTGAATACCTTTTGGCGACCGCTTACAGACGTCGCGGAGGTTACTTGTTACACTACCGTAGGTAGCCGGATGCAACCCCTGGTTCGGTTTAAATCATCTAACGTAGATGCCCACCGTGTACCTAGTGTAGGGTGCTCTTGTGCTTGGTGTCATCCGTACGCCGGGGGCGTCGAATTCGCCATTGTTGCGGTTTGATCGTTGAAAAAGTAGTACCCATGCAGGACGCGCAATCAACGGTCTCTTGCATTCAGGTAGCCGCTGGTTATCTCGGGGCGCCCAACCTTTACTACTGCTGATGCGCTGGAGGACACACCTTATTGGATTTAGTACTCGATTTTAGTAATCCTCCGTATTCCTACTGGATGGCGCTCATTAAAACGAATATAGGCACCGTAGTGTTCTTGGTGGAGCCCGGGGCGCATCGGCTTACACGACCGCCATGGTGCCGGTTGATGCGCCTCTGCAATTTGTCCGCGAATTAAGTGGTAACGCTGACCTGCTGCGCCGGACACCCAATCAATGGCCCCTAGATGCAAAGATAGACGCTGGAAAACTCTGGGTGGCAAACCGCATAGCCTTACTGCTGGGGCATCGACATCCGAAATTTAAAAAAAAATGTGATGCCAGAAACCTTCCTAAATGTCAAAGTTTCTTTCAGGTACCTTTCTTGACGACTGTCTGGGGAAAAACACTGCCATGCAGTATACTCAATTACCTCACAAAAATTCTTGGCGATTGGTTGAAAACCTAAAACTTATATTTTTAGTAGCGCCATATTAATTAGCTAAAATTAGATCAACAAATGATATGTCTATAAGGTAAAAAAAGAAATAGTAGAAAAAAATTGACAAATGTTATACTTATCTTGTTATGAAAACACTGTCCATTATTGTTATTTTTTTTAATGGCTCAATTGTTATAATGGATGCTTAGTAGGATGGAATTTCAGGGAGGGCAGACAGATAGGAGGAAGGTGTAGGTAATCTCCTAGTAAGTTGAGATACATGTACTAAAACGTCGAAGTTCATTTCTAGGCTAATTCTCTCAATGGCTTGCCCGACAATACCACGACGCTAGTAGTGTAATTATTAGGGATGGGCCCTATTCGACTCCCCCCCCCCCCCGCCCACTGAATGCCACTGTCTGTACAGTAAGAAAGGACTGGGGGCCTTTTTGGAACTTTTAATTTTTCTAGAGTAGAAAAGAAACTGTATTTCCATTTTCTTTTTAAAATTATCTGCATAAAACAAATATTAAAATTCCAATGAAAAACATTAAATTTTTGGGTTCACAGAAAGAAGCGCAACGGAAAAAAAACGCAACGAAAAAAAAGCGCAAAACAAAAAGCGCAACGGAAAAAGCGCAACGGAAAAAGCGCAAACGGAAAAAAGCGCAAACAAAAAAAAGCGCAAATAGAAAAAAGCGCAAACAGAAAAAAAGCGCACACAGAAAAAAGAGCAAACAGAAAAAAGTGCAAACGGAAAAAGCGCAAACA